CCACCATTTTTCTTAGCTTTTGATTTTCACTGATCTATTATTCTCTGCTACCTTCTTTCTGTAAAGCGTTTTTCACGTTTCATGGGATTCTACTTTTTAATGTTAATGATGGCTTAATCATACGTATTTTATTATATTATAAGGTTAAATATTTGTTGAATCATCTTTATTAGAATACTTTTTAATCCTAGCTAACATATAAATTTAATTATTGAAATTGGGTGATCGATTTTAATTTACTCGTAGAGTCGTAGGAATGTCCAAGTCCAAACCTACCTTAATTTAGCTAGGTTTGTTATTATATGGGCTGAACAAAATTGGGGTACCGAGTACTTTTTATTATAAGCACATGTTTGAATATTATTTTCATGTATTATTAGTGTTATTAGTATGATGGAATACTTCTTGTCTGCTCTAATTTGTTTTTGTTAAGTGTGCGAATCATATAGTTGAATACATAATATGGAGTACGTATTACATTGTTTTACTATGTTCAACTTAAAACTAAAAATATAAATTCTTGTGTCTATAGAAAAGTTTTATCAATCTAAACTCCATTATGTGTCTAGCCATAGTATTGATACATAAAAGATTGGGTAAATCAACCCTACACGTATTTCATTTTAATATTCCGTAGTATAATCAAGTTTATTATTTTAATATAAATAAAAGGTCATATGTGGATTTGTAGAACAATAACAACTACAAAAATCAAGTTGTATAAATCTCACAAGTAATATCTCGAATTAATAATAATAAAAAAAAGAAACCCAAGTTAGATTCAGGCAAAGGTATACATATAACTCATATTGGTATCTTATATTATGGAATTAGGGGGTCAAAGAGCATATCTGCAGCGTAGGAGTACGTTTGTTGCATCCAATGCTTTATCAAATATTTATATTTCTCAGTCTCAAACTACCTTTAGAATATGAGATATTCATCATACACATGTACACATATAGATTAAATCATTAAAATCTACATGTATAAAGTAAGAGAATGTAAGTGAGTATAAAGAATGGAGGTGAGTTAATGAGTTTAGACCTTAAAAGAAAGCTCACATGCTAATGGGAGGTGTTTTGGCAAAAAAAAAAAAAAAAAAAAATAATAATAAAAAAAAATGTCTAGGTTGGGCCTAAATAAAAAAACGAAGCCCAAAATATTTTTTTGCAGTTATCTCAAATCGGGTTTGGCTTGGTTGGATTAGTTTTGATCAACTTTAGCTTTGATTCAAGCTGGAATGGAATTTAAAACTTTACTTTAATCACTCTAATACCATTAATTGGAGATTTTTGCTAAGTTATTTTCTCATTTACTCAACATGACCAAATTTATTATTATTTTTTTTTTTTTTGAGTATTAGAGTAGTGTATTAATTGAATTGAACAACTAACTCACTATCAATATTCAATAATATGATTTTTCTTTCTTATTGTAGAATAAGGATAGAGGTCAAATCAATGCAAACTTATTATTCTTTGTTAACTCAATTTTTCTTAACTTAAATCAATGATTAAACTTATCCATATATTTCTAAGTTATGGAATTCCATCCTTTTCAATAGACAATTATTGGTGGAATTGTGGAAAGCTCTATTGATTTTTATATGCTCACATTCATAATATTAAGCAATTATATCTATTTTGTTGGTGCTACATTTCGTCATCAAGTGTAATGTAAAATTAATTTACAAGAAAAAAAAGGAAAAGGCACCTCCATTTGAATCTCGTCACATAACATGTCTTTGTCAATGAAAACGTGAGTGTGTGTGTGATAGAGATGCTACTTTAAATTCCTAGATTATTGAGTTATTCTCTACTTCAATTGTAAACACTTAAATTCGTCCAAATTTATTGGTGGGTTGATTTTTGTTTCTTTTTGCCTTTTACTAATAATTTTAATAAAAATTCAGAAAAAAAATATAAAAAAATACTACTTCACTTATTAAAGGTCCAACTTTTGTGAATTGGAAGACATTTTGAAAATTGGACGGCTGACCACAGTCAAGTAATGTAGGGCCTTAGATGTTAACATCAATTACTTATTAAATTAAGGGTCATAAAAAATGATTAAAAAAAAACTGTGTAAATATAATATACTTTAATTATAAAAGATTTAAAAGAAAAACATTTAGTTGACGATAACTCGTCAAGCAAGTAGTACTAGTTGAAAACATCACGAGACAAATAGTCGTGCAAATTGGTACAGTTATGTTGAATTCGTTATGATTATAAGTGATGCAAAGTTAGCAACTTTATTTTAGGTCAAGTACCATTTCCGTGATAATTATTTTTTATGGAAGGTTCATTCTTCGACTTTTATAGTATGTTTTTCTATCATTTCTCATGATAAATAAAACGTATGGTATGTAGCATATGGCCAAAAGTTGTTATATTTGAAAATTTTGATCAATCTATTATTGATGTATAAAGCTATCTTAATGTATTCTTTCCCTTACCTTTATTATATTAGAAAATAACATCTATCTAATTAACTACTTTGTGTGCATGCAATTTTCCAAACAAGTGTGAATTATGATTTATAACGAGCTTAGGATCGGATGCCTTGTTTAAGTCATCTCTTGAGAATCTCCATTTGTAACATAAGATGATTGGTAAGTATACTTAGATCGATCGAGATTCATTCATACATTCACATCATTTAAATCAAGTGTACATCTCTTACCATTTGCGTCTTTCGATCTATACATCAAATAAAGTAATTTGCATCATAAACCTTTTTTTTTTTTTGATGAAATGAACTAACTTTAGATTAATACTATTTGTGAAGTACATAGATTCATTAAGGATAATCTGACTATAAATACAGTTAATTATATTGTATAGATCTACATCAACGAATGTATTTAGGTCATGACCTAATAATATCTAGCTATTTTATGTATTATCATTGTTCTTTTGCTTAATTTAATTCGAAGAAATTGAGTTGTTTTTGACCTATCCTAATCGCCTATTTTGGTCATGACCTAATTAAATACAAAACCTAATTTAATGAGAATAGGAGGGAGAGGAAGAAGAAGAAGAGTCAGCTATATATGTGGTTTAAATTATTGTTTCATCTCTTTTTGGATTTGGAAGTATCATAATTAATAATTACCCTAATTATATTTAATTATGGAAATGCGATGTACTGTTATTAGGGCATGCATTAGTGTGGTGTGAACTTCAATACTGGTATAATTCTTTAAAAGGATTAACACCATCCAAAAATGATCATCAAAATTTAAAGTAGAAATTTTCATCAACGTTTTCTTAAAGGCAATAGTACTCAAAAGAAGAATATCATGTAGCATATATTACATTAAGTTTTGTGATAATTGATCAACTTCTAATATGGACAATAATAATATTTTTGTAAGAAAGGCAAAATATTATATGATGTACTTATTACTTTGAAAATCACTGTCTGACATTTACTGATTTACATAACCCTTAATTAAAAAAAAAAAAAAAAAAAAAAGAAAAAAAAGCCTATATAAGCCTGTGGCTTCTGTACAAAGTGAAATAATATAAGCATATATGAAATTCTTGGCATGCATCATGCATATATGTATGTGATTTATCGAGTCACAGGGATATAATATAATCGATCAACGTGCATATTCCATCTTGACTTGTTTCTACCAATTTATCGAATTAAATAAGGAGTAGTTTCATTTTATATCCATAATTATGTAAAAGTTTTCTTTTCATCACATAATATTAACAATGTACAATCTTTGATGGAGAATGGTTTCCTCATCAATTTATTTCTACATTTGCAGATGAGGAAAAACCATGAAAAAACTACTTGTGAATTGAGAGATGAAAAAGCTACTCATCATTGTGTCATTTAGGTAAAATTTTGTATGAAGCTTCAACTTGTAAATTTTTAATTTACTCATGTGTTGATAAACATGTGATCAGTTTCGCTTTCTTAAGATCAATTCTATAAATTAAAGAAAATCAAAATCAAGTTTCAATTATCAAAGAGTGAAAGTTGATTTTATCATATTAAAATCGGTTTTAACTAATAACAATTAATCGAGAGGAACATGAATACTCTAAAGTAAACTTTATATTTTCTATCAATAAAAGTAGGCAAAATGTTTTTAATACACCTTCTAAAAAATGACTTAGCTTATCTAATTCAACATTTAAGATAGACGATGTCTCATATCATCCTGTTCGTACTCATGGTTTAAAATATATAATCAACCTTAAAACGGGTCAATACAACCCTACAAATTCAAGTTGAGGTCAGAAAATTTTTAGAGTCATTAACTTGTTAAATAATTATCACTAATTAAACTTATATATGCAATAAGTAGGGACAAAATTCAACTATTAATAAATTTATCAAATTCAATAATCATTAAGTTGGTAATAAGATCGAATATATATAGGGAATGTCACAATCTCATGATTAACAAACAAACATACTTTTGTTCTTAGACATCATTAATGGAAATAACATGAATTAATAACAAAATCATAGAATTGCTAACTAACTGTATTATTAAAGTAATTAACTCATAATCAAGGACTAAAATTATAAGCTAAGGTTTTCATGTGAATAAGACTAGAGAGGGTGCTCAAAAGGTTGGACCACGTGCGGTGCATGGCCAGGGCTAAAGTGGTCCTTAAGAGAAAGAATTGACAGAAAGAAAAAAAGAATCACTCCTCTAAATAGACACCACATCACATGCACTAACACAAATATATTATAATAATAAAAAAAACACACTATTTTTATTTTTATAAATAATAAAAAAAAATCCACAAAAAAGCCAAAATTTTAATTTGCATTGCATATGAATGTATTTCCTAAAAATGGTAATATTCTTAGGCTTTTGCTTTGAAACCAAAAAAAAAGTTAGGGCTCACTTTCATTTTAATTTTATTTATTTATTTATCATGATGAAAAGAGTATACTTTATATTCTATTTTTATGTAGAATATTCATATGATATGATGTAGAAAATGCAGTGACAAGGGTTATACAAATATGAATATATATAAACTTGATACTAAAAAAAAAAGGGGGGGGGGCATATTCTTGTATTTTTTTGTGTAACAATATAATGTATGAAAAGCCCTTTTCCTTTGAGAGAAGGTAGCTAATAAGCAACAACAAAAGAAAGAGAGAAGCAAAATGTTGTTGCAGTAACTAATTAATTAATTAAACTTAAATTACTAGCTATTTAATTATTTAGCTAACCTTGCCATGATTTATGGCTATCTTGTTGATGATGATGATGATTTGTTGTGATGCAATTACCAAGTCCAGCAATGGTGAGAATATCATTATGTGAAAGTGGTCTTAATCCCAAGAAATCCCTTGTTAATCCATCATTGCCTCCTCCATTGTTGTTGTTGTTGTTGTTTCCATTGGCGTCGTCGCCTCGGGTGGCACCCAGAGAGTGATGGAATGCAGCCATGGAAGAAGTGTCATCGCCACCTTTCTTGGAAGTGCCTAACATACCAGCGATACCAAATGCATCGTCATCATGGTGATCATAGGAAGATGAAATTGAATTAATCATCATGTCATGGAAGAAGCTAGAGGAGGATGTTGGTGGTTGTGGTTGTGGTGGCGAACTCGGACTAGTAAGGTGTGGGTGATCAGACCCACCAATGGAGGTAGCACCGGCAACATTGGTAGTAGTAGTGGTGGTGGTTGGTGTTGGAGTTGTTGTAGGTTTATTCCCAAAAGAAGACAAAGCATGGTTTACTATAAGGCCACTATTATTATTATTATTATTATTGGTAGTACTAGTAGTAGGAGTACTAGTTGGGATGATATCTTGATCACGTGAGGACAAATTCAAACCAAATAAACCAGCTGTAGTAGTTGTATTGGGATTAGTGTCAGTCATGTGACGTTGCGAGTGGTGGTGGTGGTGGTGGTGGGGTTGAGTGGCTGCAGTGTTGCTCATGGTAGCGCCCATCTGAGCTGCCTTTTGCAGCAATGCAGTAGCTGACATGTGGGGAGATGATGCCGCTACTGATACTTGTGTGTGGTAAGGTCCACCAAGACTTCCTGTACCTCCTCCTCCTCCTGAGGATGATGAGAATGTGGGTCCCATGCTAGGGTTGTTACTGTTGTTGTTGTTGTTACTAGGGTTTGGATTTTGTTGCTGTTGCTGATGTGGCATCATGGCATGGTGATGGAAGATTGATGATGACGAAGACGATGACGGATCTATTGATGGACAAGCAAGCCATGGTGGGAGGTTGTTCATCATGTGCTGTTGTTGCTCTCTTTTCAGTGGGAATGCATGTAGCTGATGATCCTGCTGTTGTTGTTGTTGCTGGAACTGAACTTGCTGCTGCTGATGATGTTGCTGAGGGGTCATGAAGTGAGAGTTGGAAGGCCCGGCTGCGGCGACAGCAGCAGCAGCAATAGGGTGTGGTAGAATTGAGTTTGTAGTGATTGATCTAGCTGTTTCCTCTGCTAATGCATCACAAAATGCTCTGTGTGTTATGAAACTATCTCTCCTGCACAAACATATTAACAACCCGATCTTATCACATGACTTCCACAATATATATATGACATATAACACCCCCACATTAAAAGAAAAAAAAGATAAAGAAAAGCAGTAGTACTATACTCTTAACACATGCATACACTCTCACATACATCAAAACAAAAAATCATGCATCTTTTTTATTTTAATCATGTTTCTGATCAACTTTTTGCTTCCCCCTCTCTTGTTTTCTGTCTCTTCCCTATTTCTTTACCATCTATTAATAATTCCATAGACATACATTCCATCTCTCCGTGTCTAAAAATTCTTCCTGTTTAGACAATAATTGACTCACAACAAAATACTGAATACTAAACAAGAACTAAGTACAATCAAAGAAACAAATTAAGATATAATTAGCCCATGAGTTTAATAAAAGTGATGATATAATTAAAAGTAAGATTAATGGATTAGTGAAATTAAAAAAATAAAGTACCTGGAGAAAAGGGTGCCACAATCACATCTGTATTCCCTAGTACCACAAACCTTGGAATGAGCTTTCCAGTCAGATTGAACAGCATATCTCTTAGAACATTTATCACATTTCCATTTTTTTTCACCATGTTTTCTACAAAAATGTTTCTTAATCCCAGTTAAATCACCCAAAGCCCTTGAAGGATCATGGTGCACACAGCTTGTTTCAGGACAAACATAAACTTTCTTCCTAACTTCTTTGTTTGTCCTCTGCTTCAACTTCCATGGTAAGTTATGCCCTCTTCTATGAAGCTGTAAATTCTGATCTCTTTGAAACCCTTTGTTGCAGATCTCGCAAACAAATCTGTTTGTTGCTAGTAATGATTTTGGTGATAAAGCTATCACTTCTGCATCTGGGTCTACAAAACACAATCGTCACATGTCGTCCTACCTAGCTAGGTTTATATTAATGAATGAAACAAATCCATAGGTGTACACGAGAACAACTAAGAATAATTGAAATTCACCTACCTGGGTTACCGGGTAGGTTTCGCTTCCGCTTAGCCGGAGGTTGTTCAGAAGGCTGTTGGTCATCAGAGTGATGATGTGGAAAGTAAAAAGAGTTGCTAGGTTCAACTCTATTATTGTTATTATTACCGGAAGAAACACTAGCATCACCAGAAGCAGCAGAAGTCAAATTTGACATGTTTTCTTCTAAAAAAACTTGTTGTTCTTGTTGTTGTAGCTGATGTTTTATCATTCTTTTTTTTTTTTAAAAAAAAAAAAAAAACAAAAACAAAATTGGTGGATTTTTGGAAAACTATAAAAAATAATTAGCAACTTAATTTGGATCTTTGTTTTGTCATGTTTACAAAAAATAAATTTGTTTTGAAGGATCTAAAAATATGTGAATGATCTAAAAAGACAAAAGAAAACCCAAATCTGGAAAATAATGAAAGAAAGAAAGACAAAGTTAAGATGAAATATATAAATAAAAAAGGTTTAAGAAAAAAAAAATGGTATGAAGCACTAACAGAAGAAGCTAGCTTAGGAGGAGAGAGAGAGAGAGAGAGAGAGAGAGAGAGAGAGAGAGAGAGAGAGAGAGAGAGAGAGAGAGAGAGAGAGAGAGAGAGAGAGAGAGAGAGAGAGAGAGAGAGAGAGAGAGAGAGAGAGAGAGAGAGAGAGAGAGAGAGGCTAAAATGAATTCTGTAGGTGGTAGCTTAGTGTGACTATATAACATAAGTTGTTTTTCATAAATGTGAATATGGTTTACTAAAATCAACTAATTTAACCCGACCCATATTCTAGAGAGAGAAAGTAGGAGAGTACTGAAAGAGAGAGAGAGAGAGAAAGCCCTTGTGCTCTCACTAAAAACCATTGCCCAAACCCAAAGGAAAATGGGAAAATCCCAAACATACCTTTTTTTTTAATTTTATTTTTTTAATGGCAAATATTTTTTTTACTATTTTTTTTTTACATGGATAAGAAAAGAGGATATTAGGAGATCCCCTTCACGAGAAAAACTCTTAATAGCGTTGAAGATATTATTTACCAGTAAATTAGACAAAGAAAGAATAGTACTCCTTATAGGCTTATAGCTAGCCATTTAGTGTATGTACAAAGGGGCGGAGACATTATAAATGTACAATTGTACAAACTAAGTCATTTTAAATAATAATGTAACAGTCGACTTTATTAATGGGTGATCTGACTAAGGGTATGTTCTGATTTACTAAACTGAATTGAATAAAATATTTTACAAGAGAAGGAAATTAGGAATTGAACTGAACTTAATTAATTGAAGCTGAACTGAATAGAACTGAATTGAAAAGAAGTTGAAGCTAGAGAACAGGTCCTAAGTTGCATTCTCTTCACTTTGAAATGAAAACAAAAATTAGAAAAAAAAGAAATTAGGGTTACTTTGGTTTGATCAACTCGGATCAAGGTTAGTTGAGTAGATGTATACAATGAAATAAATTTGGGTTGATCAAATCTATAAGTATGGGTGAGAAGAACATGTCCTACTATTCAAAAAAAAAAAAAAAAGAAGAACATGTCCTAAGCTATTGAGTGTTGTACGCAACACACCCGTTATATGCAAAACTGTTGAATTGAGCGGTGAATAATTAATTAAATAGCCATAGAATTATTGAAAGAATTAATATTAAAAAACCACCATCAAATCTGATGTTGCCCATTTTGTCTTTTCCTTAGTTGGGACCTATAGTATATCTTTCCCTACCCCCATAAAAATAAAAAAATTCCTTTCTTTTTGATCAAAAAAATCTTTATAAAAACAAAGCTTTTGTAAAAGTAAAAATAAAAATAATCTCCCAAGTGCTAAAAACTTTTCTTTAATCTAACCATCTTTCCAATCTGTGCTAAAAAGTGAGATGAAAAAGCAAGGATGTAAAAAGGGACAATGATTTGTAAATGAAGAGAGACAGCAGAAAAAACTGTCTATTTGTATATTCATTCTACCCATCATTCATTTTTCAATTAGACTTGTGTAAACAAGTAGTAAAATCCTCTTATCAAACCTTTCTTCTGTACTTATTTCTCTTTTCCTCATTTAACTTTCTTCCTACTTTTTTCTCTGTATATTCATTTTCAGCTTTGTTTTTACGTAGTTACTGTCACATGCTAGCTTGCTTGATCGATCAAGTTGTAAAATATGTAAAAAAGTGTGTAACAGTTAAAAACCCATGTATTAGAATAAGTAATTAATTAATTGTCACTATGTCTTTATTTTACTTTTGTTAATTATTTTAATTTCTCAATTATTCTTAATTACTAATATAATGTAATACTTTCTTTGTAGAGTGTTTTGACTATGCATGTTGTTGGGGCTAGTCAAGTAGGGAATAACAATTAAGGACCGTTTAATTTTCAAGCCATGCATGAACTTTCAATACGTTACTAGTATGCATAGTGAGGAAAATAATAAAGATGAGTTGATAATTCCAAGAAATCGCAGAAAGATATTCAAATAACGATCATAGTAAACTGTATAATAAATTGCCTCATAATTAATTTGTTAACATAAGTGGTGTATATTACTTTCTCTAGCTGGTATGCTTTTTTTTTATTTATTTTTTTTTTTTTTTTTATGAAGTATTACAATACTTCATTACTTTCTTTCGTTTTAAGCACATGTAAATACAACGGCATAAATATAACCTAGAGAAGAATTTTCAAATAAAGTGTCACCTTATTAATTAAGATTATTATTATTAGTTCATTAATTATTATAGTCATTATAATAGAACAGTTTGCATTGTTAACCTCACTTGAAAAGGACACATGAAGGAAATTGGGCGGTCAAGTTTTTGTATCATATTGTCTCATAGTTTAAATTTAATTTTACTAAAATAAAAAGTTTCTTTTTGACAGTTACTTGTTTCATTCCAAAAACTTCTTTTTATACTTTTACATAAACTACAAAGATCGAACATCAAAAGAAATTAAAAGGCACTCGATCGATCACTAACTACGTGAATGCAATTGACTTCCGCAAGAGTTAAAATTTGTGATTTTTTTCAACTTATATGCTTGACATGCTATATATTAAAAGTAATTAGCTAGGTACAGTGATCGAGGAGGCTTTTTTTTTTTTTTTTTTTTTTTTTTTTAATTTTATAAACATATCTCTTGCTTTTATTATACCTTTAGCTAAGGTTGGCTTTTTTTTTTTGTGGGAGGAAAGGTATCTTAGAGTGTTGTTTTCTTTTAAAATTTAAGATAAGAATTATCTTTGGCAACCCAAAAAAAAGTTCAATCTGTGTCTTATAATTACTTAATTCTTCCTTGTTAATTACAAGTATAAAAGACAATAACAGAATATGTACGTGTGAATAGTGTAAAATTTCAACTATTATAATTTAAAAAAAAAAATAGAAAAAGTACTCTTTTTTTTAAAAAAATAAATAAATTGAAAAGGGGTCTAAATACATGTAAAATGTACACATTTGCTTTTATACAGAGTAGTTCAATTGATCAAGTTTATATCGACCTTTAGGGTCCTTGGAAAATTTCCTTTGTCCTTTTCATGCTAGAGTAGCAATGTTCTCAAAAATGACAATTATGGCTCTATTTGGAGTTGTCAAATTGAAATACGCTTCCGTTTCGTTTTCAAATATCCCTACTTTTCTGAAGAAGATATATTTATTTTGTAAGTGTACAACTCTAAGGGTATGATGAAACCCCATCTTTGTTAATTAGTCGACATACTCTCACAAGTTACAAGTATATCCTTATATACGGCGGACCTATTTGATCTTCATGCCACGACTCAATCAAGGCGGGGACAAATATATTATGAAAAATAAAAGGATTTGAGAATGGATCCTTGAGTCCACTCTTTAGCCAGAGATTATCGATGGGTAATTAAATACTTTTAAAATTTCCGAGAAAAATCCTTTCTTTCCGTGTTTTATAAACACTTATGCTGAAAATGTTATGTCAGATAATATCAACTCCTCTATTAAAGTGATTTCCATTGATCAATATTTATAGGGTTACAATCAGAAACCTAATCATATTAGGTAACTATAAAATATGTACAGATATCAAAGATAATCTTATACAAAATATATCCTAAACCTAGGATGAGAATATTATATGGATATTCTCTATCATGTTATCTGGCCTAGAGGACTTTAAATACCAAGAAACATGGCATTTCAAGTAACATCCATGAGTAAGACCAGGAAGCCAATTAATGTACTTTCTGTTAGAACTTCTATTTTCAGTGGGACCTAAAATATTGGTTTTTTCTGTTTTATGTTTCTGGCATTTTTCTCATAAGTTTTGTTCTCTCATTCAATGGCTATTATTGTTTTCAATTTCATATATATACAGCTATACACCTAAATAAATTACTCTTAATAATATTACAGTATAATTGTTTTTAGGGTTGTTTAGAGTATTTCATCACTTTTTGTTCTTTTATGGTATTGGTTTCTTAAATTTTGAATCTTTTTCAAGTTTAGTATAATTTTTTATTTAGCATTTATTTCCTGAATATAACAAAAGAAGAAGAAGAAGAAAACGTGTATTATTTCTTGGTTACTTGATAATAATACTAAGTATAGGAAAAGAACATTATCCTAGAGTATTACGTTAGCTTAAGTATGGTACGTACGAATAATAATACAATTTTGGCATTACTATTGGTATCAATAATAGTTTGCCACAATTGTATTATTATCACAGTCTAACCATTTATAATCCATTAATTCAAACAGCTCAACTACTTGAAGCTTTTTAATTAATTAGAATCATCGCTAGTTTTACCCTAATCTTTGATTTTTTTTCGCACTGAGTGATGAGGACTGAGGAGGAGGTAATCCCTCAATTTTAATGCAATTATTATCATTTTTAAAACCGGAATACCGTACCACAAACAAAATTAATGTAGTATATAAGAACATGACTATTACGTAGCATTCTAGTGATTCGCAAAACCTACGTACTATATAAAACACAAAGTTTCATGTGTGGCTATGATGGGGTTACTTGGTCAGGGTTTATTTGGTCAAGGGTTACTCGGTCAATTAAAAGGTCATGGGTTACTCGGTTGGTCATGTATGAGTTACTCAGCTCGTGTGTCACTCAGCCATACGGTGTGACCAGTCACACAACATACACGCTGATATAAAATAATGTGTGTAAATTTTAAATACATGATTGCAAAAGTATTGCATGTGACATATATATGTAGTCTATGCACACACACTCTCTTATTTAGTATGCAATAAAAGAAAAGAACATCCTAATATCAACGTTGTACTTCAATTGAAATTTCCTAAGCTCGATTTTCAAATTCAAAATCGACATTAAATCCTATTTGGAATGAAGTTAACATCATCAAGGACCTTTCTCAATTTTGAATTTGGAATGAAGTTGAGAATAGTCTCCTTGCACGCACGTTGGTGATAGAGGCTGAATAAAGGAGAAAGATCAAATGCCAATTTAATTTTGCATTTAAACCAAGCAATAATGTATATTTCTCATTAAATCATCTTCTAAATACTTTTCTCCGATCATCAATTATTGACTACCTGTTTTATTAT